GCCCACCAAGGAGGCTCCTGTCCAGCGAAAATCTCAGCTGTGGCTATGGATAGGAACTCTGCGCTGATCTGATGATCCTCGCCGTGTCTGTTGCCTAATTTGCTCCACGGCCGACACCTCGCCTTTCAGCTGAAGTCGTCGTTCACCGATGACTTGAATAAAATCAAAATTCAAGATTTTTGAGCTATGCTTTAGACTACAGTCAGGTATTTAATGAGGCAAGAGTCTCCTAATTTTTGACGAAGAATTTACATATCTGTTGAACCAAAATGATTGTACAACTACTACCTTTGATACATCGAAGCCACTAAGTTTGACGTTGTCTAATTTAATTTATTGTTTTATTAATGTTTATTTTAGGCATTATATTGTGCATAATTTAATTTACTATTTTCTCGAATATTTGCTAAAACGTTTTATTTGTGTTTCCTGATGATTTGTGTTCCAAAAGTTCAGCATAAATGTACTTATTCGTCTTTTCTATGTATTATTTAAACATATTTCTCTAAACTTTGTGTCTTAAAAGACGTTATTTGAAATTTTGGCTTTTATTCGTTTGTTACTTTCAGATCAGTTGAGCTTCATCACGAGATTATTGCCTTGGAAAGTACCGGTGGTATGCGGGTTGCAGCGTCGATGTCAGACTCCGTATTATGTTGTGTATAAATTAACGATATTTGCGAAGTCTGCAGCGATTGCCCCTCTCAAGATATTGCAAAGTACATTGGCACTGCGTCCAGTAAGAAATTTGCCATGAATAGTGCCTTTTTTCAAGGGCACCAGCGAAACGCACATTCTCTTACCTTTATCGGCCATCTGCTCTTAGAATGATCCTTTTTCCAGTTGCGACACAAATTGCCATGTACATGATAATGGCGACTCGTTTCGTAGCGACAGGTTAACATAACTGTTCGCTTTTCGAATGAGTAATACTATACGATGAAAATCAGTGACTAGCTTTCGCGTTCATATCGCCGTCATAAACTTGGCGTCGACGAACAGTCGCGGTTTCACACATGTACATGCAAAAACTGCGACACCACGTCAGCGTTGGGAAGAGCTACGCAGCTTGAATAATTCGTCGTCGAAAGGTTCCCCTCGCCTAGCCTATCCTCGTTACGCCTCGCTGAAACTCGATACACCTCGATATGAAGCTCTTTTTATTAACGGTGGAACCGGCGGTCACCGTCGTCGTCCTGGTCGTCTTTGCAGCTATGAGTTGCTTGGCCGAAGATGA